GGGTTCATGTGCGGCTCAGGCACTATAGTCTTTTTGTCACTTTTCATCTTTAAAGTTTTCTTCCCCTCAGGTATAATCACAATTATATGCTGGTAGATTTACAGTTTTCTTCCTTTCTTTCTCCAACTCCTCATGGTGTGAATCATCCCTTGAGCAAGCTGTGCTTTTGAGCTTTATATAATCATCCTTCAAACCTTGCTTGCGCCTTTGAACCATTTTTCGTTTATGAAATTTCATATATTAGCTTCGTTGAAAAGAAGTAAGACGGATTTGTAAGTTTCATTCTCTATGTTTTGTTTTTAATTGTTTGTCCATGTACAAACTTACTAATTAGAGTCTCGAATTTATGCAACATTCAGGTGATAAGCTTTAACCTCACTGCCAATCAGCTCATTCCACCTACAACAGCAACCTATACATCACCTGTTGAGCAACGGAAGTGGTCATTCGAAAGTGTAACCGGCATTGTGCACCTACAAGTTATTTGAGTCAAGACAGAATGTTTTTTTTTCCCCTAAACCTTTTCTAGTAACAAACTTCAATCTTTCTCTATCAAATCTGTAAAATGTTACCAAATCTTGACATTACCCTTTTTTGTGATTATCTTTTATTGTGATTTTATTATGGCTTTCATCTTTTTTGACTCTACTGAGATAGTGACATAAGTTCTTTTAGTCTATAAACCTTTATCGATATTGCATTGTTTTGTAGGCGGATTTATGGAACACCTGTCAAAGCATTGCTTGGCTACATGGATGAAGTGGCTTTGTAACCAGTGGAGCAATGTGCTTAATTTCCAGATGGTTACTTTTATCCAGTTTCAGCTGATGATAAACTTCAAGAACTCTTATGGAATGGACTTATTTGATGGGTGTGTAAACATATCATCAGACGGCACTGTGTTCAAACTCTCAATCAAATTTTGACAGCTTGACAGGCAGAAGGATACACATGCAACTAAATTTGACTGATATGCAGGTTGATACAACAACATGGCATCAACCCTGCAGTTTCTTAATTTCCAAATCGGTTGAAAATAAAATCCAGCTGAGAACTCTCTTTAAGGTGTTTTATCTTTAAATTTATCGAATTCCAGTGTACTGCAGGGATTTAAAACTGATGTTCTTTTTTTTTTTTTTTTTTTTTTTTTTTTTTGGTGGGTGTAGGACAACAAAATGTGAAATAGATTATGAGAGCATCTGGCAACTGGCAAGCCGGTTCCATTATGCTCAGCTTTATGCGTTGCTTGTAATTTGATATTTACATTCATTTCAGTTCTGGAAAATACATTATCTAAAACTTTTGTTATTAAGATGAGTTACTTTACAAGTTTAAGAGAAATCATGTGTATCAATTGATTCCTTAATTAGTGTCATCCCAATCCCAAGACCCATAGAAGAAAAAGTTGGAATCTTTATAATTTTGAAACTTAAAAAGAGTATTCTTTCCATGTTGCTTACAAGTCTGGGGGTGGTCATATTCAAACTTGCTGTGGTTTTATGCAGGAAGGATTAAATCACAGCTTGCTTATGGTAAGAAATCTGAGGCTAAGTCATGAAATTTCATTAGTGAATCGGAAACGAAATTTCGAGACTAATTTCCAGTTCCTTGCTTGAATTTATGTAGGGTAAGCTCTGCTTCCTCTTTATTCTTCTAATTGTTTTCTCTTCATTTTCTATTAGAGAAATTCTCAATTGGAACATCATTGATTGATGGAGAATCCAAGCCAAAGCATGTGCTTCTCTTTGACAAAAAGGTTTTTTATGGGAAAAACAACATTAATTGTCTTTTTAACAGGCAGTATCATTGTTTTATTTGTTTTCACTGAGTTGAAATTCATGTATTGGGGTATAGGTTAATCAATATCATCCAACCAAGATCCTTTAACTTCTGAGGCCCTTCGAACATGCAAACGTAAATTTATTTATTTTTCATCTTTGAATGCTTTTACGGCTAACACAATTTATGACACAAATTGTATTGAAGGATGAATCTACAATCCCAATGACAAAATTCAGTTCTTGAACATTTATAAAAAGTGTTAAGGTTATTTTGGACTTTTCTTGTGATTGTAATTCCAGGAGCTAGTGAATATGTATACTTAATAGTATATATTGTTATAACTCATTTTATTTTAGGTCAGAAATTGCATAGAGAGATCTACAAGAAGATTTTGAAGATCAGAGATCAAATTACCATTGCTCAGAGTTAAGGTATTAGTTATTTACACTTAGGATTCTTGCATATCTTTTTCGTAGCCCAGTCTCAAGTTTTCACAGTCCTAAACTTAAAGAATTGTTAATCTTATGAGTCAGGTATATGTAACTTTTATCCTTACGTAATCTAGGATATCTTTTGAATTTAATTGAACAATTGTGCTATTGCACTGCTAGCATGGTCTGGGCCGACGCTCATCAAATATCATGAACCTGGAGTCTGAAAATTGGAGCAAGTGTTGAATAGTTTCTCGTTTAGGCAAATAGGTGGTAGTAATATTGGTAACTTAGATTCTAACTGCAATGGTATCACTTCGACTCAAGTGCTAAACAACAGAACATAGAGGCCTAATTGTGAAAACATCAAATATCATTCTTCTTATGTTTCTGTACAATCTAAAGTTGGTTAAAATTTTTTGCAGAGGAAGAAGAAGGATGATCTAAACAACATAAACTTGCTTTGCATTTTGTCTTTCACAAGACAAGAATGTTCCTAGATTTCTAGAAGACAAGAATATTGTATTCTTATAGAATAAAAAATTGTTGTAAGGATGGAACCAAGAAGGCTTGAGAGCAAGCAAAGCATATTCATTTCAACATCAATTACGTATACCTCCCTTCTGCATATATAAATTCTTCCTTCTTTTTCACTTTTTCAGTAATTAATATTGATGTGACGAATTCGGTAATCGACCCTCTTGGTTATACAATCTTCCGGATTCAGTAACCGCAACTCCTCTTATTACTTGGATTATATGCTAAAGATACTAACATTATTAGAAATAAGAAATAAGAATAAGTTGGTAATTTGAATGTAAAATTCAAGCCATAATTGGTACGTAAGTTAAAGAACATAAAATTGGTGAAGGTAAATCAAATAGCCGTTGAAGCTAATTAAGCCTTAATCAATACAAATTTGGAACAATTCATTCAAAGTCAAAGTTAATATTAAGGGCATTTATAACTGCTTTTGTGGATTACGTGATTGTTTTTTAAGGATCTTATTTTTATATGCTAAAATTAAGTACCTTGATTTAATCCTCATGTTCAAGCTTAAAAAAGCGTACGTTGATCTTCTCTGTTGAAGACAAAATATTTGATTTCGAATACTTTACAGATTCGAAGTCTAACATGTTATAAAGAAAAAATGAAGCAAGCTTGAGAGCAAAGGCAAATGAAGAATGAAAGGATTGCTTTTGGTGCTTACCATTATCTTCTTGCCTAAATGAATATAAAAGATTTATTTTTATACAGAATAAAACAATTCATACCAAGAACATTAATTTGTAAGAAAAAGAATGCATTATTTTCAATATCAATTTCATACCTACTTCTTCAATCATTCACCTTTCTTTGCTTTATATATTCCTTCTTGTTTTAGTACTTTTCTTTAAGGGAGACAAACCAGTCTCAGAACAAAATATTTCCATAAATCTCTTTTACAGATTCTAACTCATAACATTTATTTAAAGAAAAGAGATCTTGTAACAAGGATGGAACCAAGCAACCTTGAGAGCAAAGGCAAATTAAGGATGGAATCAATTACATACCTTCTTCTTCTCATTCAATTTTCTTTGCTTTTTATGCTGTTATCTTTCACACACACAACCATTCATTCTTTCATTAACCCTTTCATCTGATTGTGTTTTCCTTTCTGTTTAAAACTAAACCCAAACACTTCCCAAATCCTTGTTCAAATCCTGCATTTTATTCAACCACTCAACAGAATTCTCTCTATACCCAAAAAATTAAAAAAAAAAAAAAAAAAAAAGGCCATGGAATTTGTTTCTTTAATTGCCGGAAGGTCGGGGACTATTTGTTTGTAGCTGGGCGGTCAACTTGGTACTTGGTTCATTACAACGACAAATTAAAACTTGAAAAGCAAGCTAAAAGCTGGCAGATAGCAGAGACATGGTGCACAGAAAATCGAATTTGCTGAAAGAAAGGAGAAACCATCTCGTATGTTCAAAGCTGGATAGCAAAGCGGATAAGATTTCCGCAGAAACTGAAAAGTTTGGAAGATGACAAAGCCAACAAGAGGTGTCTCAAAGGGTGGTGCCTTAATCTCACACAACTTATCGTTAGTAAGGAGGCAAAGAAGCATCTCTGGAGATTCTAATCGGCTCCAAGAAATGGAAAAGTTTGAGGTGTGTCTTGTCCTGCTCCTCGGCTGGAATTAATCGTCATCGAATTATTTCTTCAGGCACTTGAATCTAGAAATTCAATTAAAAAGCAAATCGTGAAGGTGCATATATAATGATGTATATGTCAGCATAATTGGAATATGTGGGAGGGCGGCGTGGGTAAGACCACGCTAGTGAAAGAAATTGCCAACAAGCAAAAGAAGAAAAGAAATATGATGAAGTAGTGAGGCGGTTGTCTCTCAAACCCCGAGTATTATGAAGATTCAGGCGACATTGCTGACATGTTAGGTGTAACAAAGTCTTTGCCGACTAATTTGAATTAGCAAGAGCACTTCTTGTGGGACAGAATCAAGAGAAGAAGCACATCCTGGTAATACTGGATGACATTTGGGAAGAATTGAATTGAATGACATTGGTATTCCTCTTGGGAAGATCATCGTGGTTGTAAATTGTATCACCTCTCGAAGCAAAACTGCGTGTACTCAAATGACTTGTCAAAAAGTATTCATCTCTTTGTTACAAACTGAGCCAACAAAATTCTCCTAAAACCCTGCCTAAAGTCCTATATATTTTTCTTCTTTCACCTTCAAACACTCAAAACATAATTTTCTCCTTATACCCAATTGAAAAAAAAAAAAAAATGGCCATAGAAATTGTTACTTCTATTGGTGGGAAGGTCGCTGACTATTTGTTTGTAGCTGTTGGCAATCAACTCGGTTACTTGTTTCATTACAGTGACAATGTTGAAAACTTGAAAAAGGAAGCTAAGAAGTTGGCAGGCAGTAGAGACATGGTGCAAAAGAAAATCGAATTTGCTGAAAGACATGGAGAAATCATCTTCGCTAATGTTCGAAGCTGGATAGCAGAAGTTGATAACATTTATGCAAAAGCTGAAAGGTTTTTAGAAGGCGAAGACAAAGCAAACAAGAGGTGCCTCAAAGGGTGGTGCATTAACATCAGACAACATTATCGATTCAGTAAGGAGGCAAAGAAGCAGACTCTGGCGATTTCTGATCAGCTCCGAGAAGTGGAAAAGATTGAGAGTGTGTCAAGTCCTGCTCCTCCCTCGGGAATTATATCATCATCAGAGGTATTTTCTTCTGGCCCTTTTGAATCTAGAAATTCAATCAAGAAGGAAATCATGAAGGCGTTAGTTGATGATGATGGTGTCTACATAATTGGAATATGTGGGATGGGGGGTGTGGGTAAGACCACACTAGTAAAAGAAATGGGCAAACAATTAAAAGATGATAAGATATATGATACAGTAGTGATAGCAGTTGTCTCTCAAACTCCTAGCATAATGAGGATTCAAGGAGAAATTTCTGACATGTTAGGTGTAACGACATCTCTACCTGCTAATTCTGAAATAGAAAGAGCAAGTTTCTTATGGGGGAGAATCAAGGAGAGAAAGCGGATCCTCGTAATACTAGATGATCTTTGGGGAAAAATAAAGCTTGATGATATTGGTATTCCATTTGGAGAAAACCATAGAGGTTGTAAAATTGTAATCACCTCTCGAAGCATAAACGTCTGTGATCAAATGAATTGTCAAAAGAAATTTATAGTTGAAACTTTGTCAAAACAAGAGTCTTGGGCCTTATTCAAGGAGCTGGCTGGCTCTTTTGTTGAAACTTCTGATATAAATCCAATTGCAAGAGATGTAGCTGCTAAATGTGGTGGTTTGCCGATTGCGATTGTCACAGTAGTAGGGGCCTTAAAGGGCAAGAACAAGCATGTGTGGAGCAATGCAGCACGACAACTTCAAAAGTCCAACCCAACAAGCATCCAAGGAATGGAGGGAATCGTGTTTTCATCTTTGGAACTGAGCTTCAATCATCTAGAAAATGTGGAATCAAAATCACTTTTCTTATTTTGTAGCTTATTTCCAGAGGATTATAGAATTTCATCGAAGATCTGGTTAGATATTGGATAGGTTTGAGGTGGTTTGGAGATACCGATGAGACAATAGAAGAAGCTAGAGACAGAGTACATGCTACTGTAAGTACAATCACCTCTTATTTTCTTTTAATTGATGATGGTGAAAAGTACGTTAAAATGCATGATGTTGTCCGTGATTTTGCAATAACTATAGCCCCCAAATACAACCATAAATTTATGGTAAAAGCTGGAATTGGTCTAAAAGAGTGGCCAAACAAAGATACATTTGAAGATTTCACATGTATCTCATTGATGGTAAATTATATTAGGGAGCTACCAAGTGAGCTGCAATGTCCAAAACTGCAGGCTTTGTTATTGCAGAATAATTTTGATTTAGTTGTCCCTAGTAATTTCTTTCAAGGTATGAAAGATCTCAGTGTTTTAGATTTGAGTAACACTGAACTATTGTCATTGCCTGAATCACTTTCATTTCTCTCAACTATTAGAACACTAAATCTTAGTGGTTACAATTTGGGGGACCTATCAATGATGGGAAGTCTAAGTAAACTGGAAATTCTTAGCCTTTCCAGATCTTCTATTCAAGAGATCCCTGTTTCCTTTAGCCAATTAAGTAATCTCAGGTTATTAGATTTGAATAATTGTGAGGAGTTAACACTAATACCTCGTGGTGTTATACCCTCTCTTAAAAAGTTAGAGGAGTTGTACATTAATAGATTTAAGCAATGGGAATCTGAAAGTAAGAATTTGAAAAGCAATGCCAATCTTGTTGAGTCAGAAGCCTTGTCCCGATTGACTCATTTAGAGATTAATATTCCAAACCTTGAACTCTCACCAAAATTGTTGGTATTCCAAAATAATCTGTCCAAATTTAAATTAAAAATAGGTTATAGTATACTCGGTGATGTTTTTTTTGATGAGTGTAGATACTCAATAAATATGTATGTCTCACAAACCAACATTTCAAAAATACATGACTGGGTTAAAAGTTTGCTCAAAAGAACTGAGTGTCTATTTTTAGAGAAAATTGCTAATTTAGAGAGTATTAGCCATAACCTAGTTGAAGAAGGGTTCAATGAATTGAAGTATCTTTATATCCTATCATGTGATGAGATAAAGTATCTCCTAAATACATTGGAATGGACACCAAACTCAACTTTCTACAATTTAGAGGAATTGCATATGTATTTTACCCCAACTTGGTTGAACTATGTCATGGACAACCTCCAGCCCCATCTTTTAGTAAATTAAAACTTTTAAGAGTGTGTGGGTGCCACAACATGTTAAATGTTGTACCAAGTCTACTCCAAAGCCTTATTTGTTTGGAAGAAATATATATAAGTGATTGCAATAATTTAGAGGAGATCTTTGAGAAGAAAGAAGCTTTGGATGAGGAGTTAGACCACACCATAACCTCCCCAAGTTTGGGAAACCTAACTTCTATAACAATAACTAGGTGTCCTAAATTAAAAAACCTCTTCACCCCTTCCATTGTCAAATGCCTGGTGAAACTCAAAAGCCTTCAAATTTATGTTTGCTCAACAATAGAAGAAATAGTCACAAATGAGAAAGGAGAAAAAGAAGCATCAATAGAGAAGATAGTGTTTCCTAGTTTGTACTACTTGGACCTTTATTATTTGGACAACCTCACTTGTTTTAGCTCTGGATCATATACTATTGGATACCCAACATTGGAGAGGCTAAAGATATGGGGATGTGGAAAAATGAAGACCTTTGGTTATGGAGAGCAAGTGACACCCAAGCTTAACAAAGTGTTTGTAGAGGGGTATGAAGAACGTTGGAATGGCAACTTGAATGCCACAGTGCAAGATTACTTCAATGAACAGGTATGTAGTTAATGATGAAAGAGCTACATTACATGTTGTAATTAATATTGTAAAGTTTGACCATTTTGCATTGATGATCTTCTCATTGATGCACTTTATTTGAATTAAATGTATATAAATATGACATTCAATTCAATAGAGTAACAGTATATATTAATACAAATTGATTTGTGTTTAGATTAAAAGGAAGGAAAGAGCGTTGAAAAGAAGTAAGACAGGATTTGTAAGTTTCATTCTTCTATGTTTTTGTTTTTTAATTTGTTTGTCCATGTACAAACTTACTAATTAGAGTCTCGAATTTATGCAACATATCAGGCTTGATAATGCTTTAACCTCAACTGCCAATCAGCTCATTCCACCTACACCAGCAACCTATACATCACCTGTTGAGCAACTGGAAGTGGTCATTCGAAGGTGTAACCAGCCATTGCCCCACTCACAGCTTATTTGAGTCAAGACTAGAATGTGTTTTTTTTCCCCTAAACCTTTTCCTAGTAACAAACTTCAATCTTTTCTCTATCAAATCTGTAAAATGGTTACCAGTAATCTTGACATATTACCCTATTTTTTGTGATTATCTTTTGATTTGTGATTTTTATTATGGCTATTCATCTGTTTGACTCTACTGTAGATAGTGACATAAGTTCTTTTAGTCTATAAACCTTTATGGCTTTATCTGATTATTGCATTGTTTTGTAGGCGGATTTATTGGAACACCTGTCAAAGCATTGCTTGGCTACATGGATGAAGTGGCTTGTTAACCAGTGGAGCAATGTGGCTTAATTTCCAGATGGTTACTTTTATCCAGTTTCAACTGACTGATAAACTTCAAGAACTTTTATGGAACTGGACTTATTTGATGGTGTGTAAACAGATCATCAGACTGCAGCTTCGTCTCAAACTCTCAATAAAATTTTGACAGCCGAGAAGGGTACACATGCAACTTAAATTTGATCTGATACGCAGGTTGATACAACAACATGGCATCAACCTCCGCAGTCTTCTTAGTTTCCAAATTGGTTGAACGTAAAATCCAGCTGAGAACTGTCTTAAGGTGTTTTATCTTTAAATTTATCGAATTCCATGTTTACTGCAGGGATTTAAAACTGATGTCTTTTTTTTTTTTTTTTTTTTGGTGGGTGTAGGACAACAGAATTGTGAAATAGATTATGAGAGCATCTGGCAACTGGCAAGCCGGTTCCATTATGCTCAGCTTTGATGCGTTGCTATGTAATTTGATATTTACATTCATTTCAGTTCTGGAATATACATTATCCTAAAACTTTTGTTATTCAGATGAGAGTTACTTTACAAGTTTAAGAGAAATCATGTTTATCAATTGGATTCCTTAATTAGTGTCATCCCAATCCCATGGATCCCATAGAAGAAAAAGTTGGAATCTTCTATAATTTTGAAACTTAAAAAGAGTATTCTTTTCCATGTTGCTTAACAAGTCTGGGGGTGGTCATATTCAAACTTGCTGTGGTTTTATGCAGGAAGGATTAAATCACAGCTTGCTTATTGGTAACGAAATCTGAGGCTAAGTCATGAAATTTCATTAGTGAATCTGGAAACTGAAATTTCGAGACTAATTTCCAGTTCCTTGCTTGAATTTTATGTAGGGTAAGCTCTGCTTCCTCTTTAATTCTTCTAATTGTTTTCTCTTCATTTTCCTATTAGAGAAATTCTTCAATTGGAACATCATTGATTGATGGAGAATCCAAGCCAAAGCATGTGCTTCTCTTTGACAAAAAGGTTTTTTATTGGGAAAAACAACATTAATTTGTCTTTTTAACAGGCAGTATCATTGTTTTATTTGTTTTCACTGAGTTGAAATTCATGCATTGTGGTATAGGTTAATCAATATCATCCAACCAAGATACCTTTAACTTCTTGAGGCCCTTCGAACATGCAAACGTAATTTATTTATTTTTCATCTTTTGAAGATCTTTATACGGCTAACACAATTTTATGACACAAATTGTATTGAAGGATGAATCTTACAATCCCAATGACCAAAATTCAGTTCTTGAACATTTTATAAAAAGTGTTAAGGGTTATTTTGACTTTTCTTGTGATTGTAATTCCAGGAGCTAGTGTAATATATGCCTATACATTAATAGTATATATTGTTATAACTTCATTTTATTTTAGGTCAGAAATTGCATAGGGAGATCTACAAGAAGATTGTTGACAGATTAGAGATCAAATTACCATTGCTCAGAGTTAAGGTATTTTAGTTTATTTTACACTTAGGATTCTTGCATATCTTTTTCGTAGCCCAGTCTCAAGTGTTTCTACAGTCCTAAACTTAAAGAATTGTTAATCTTAATGAGTCAGGTATCATGTAACTTTTATCCTTACGTAATCTAGGATATCTTTTGAATTTAATTGAACAATTGTTGCTATTGCACTGCTAGCATGGTCTGGGGCCGACGCTCATCAAATATCAATGAACCTGGAGTCTGAAAATTGGAGCAAGTGTTGAATAGTTTCTCGTTTAGGCAAATAGGTGGTAGTAATATTGGGTAACTTAGATTCTAACTGCAATGGTATTACTTCGACTACAAGTGCTAAATCAACAGAACATAGAGGCCTTAATTGTTGAAAACATCAAATATCATTCTTCTTATGTTTCTGTACAATCTAAAGTTGGTTAAATATTTTTTGCAGAGGAAGAAGAAGGATGATCTAAACAACATAAACTTGCTTTGCAATATTGGGTAACTTAGATTCTAACTGCAATGGTATCACTTCGACATTGGATGGCAGCTGAAATTGATGATTCTGAAAGGCTTCACCCAGAAGTGCTAAATCAACAAAACATAGAGGCCTTAGTTGTTTAAAACAATTTGGTATGTATATGACACCGAGTACTACTAAATATATGTTGAAATTTCTAGAGGGAAAACTCCTTATAAAATGAGTGGACTGCATCAAATGGTAGAAGCCCTGTTTTTCCATTCATGGACTAATTCTAAACAACATTAAGTATTCTTCTTATGTTTCTATACAATCTAAAGTTTGTTAAATATTTTTTGCAGAGGAAGAAGAAGGATGATCTAAACAACATAAACTTGCTTTGCATTTTGTCTTTCACAAGACACGAATGTTCCTAGATTTCTTTTAGAAGACAAGAATATTGTATTCTTATAGAATAAAAAATTGTTGTAAGGATGGAACCAAGCAGGCTTGAGAGCAAGCAAAAGTATATTCATTTGAACATCAATTACGTATACCTCCCTTCTGCATATATAAATTCCTTCCTTCTTTCTCACTTTTTCAGTAATTAGTATTGATGTGACGAATTCGATAATCGACCCTCTTGGTTATACAATTCCTTCAGGATTCAGTAACTGCAATCTTACTCCTTATTAATTTGGGATTTATATGCCTCAAGGAATATTAATATTATTTAGAACTAAGAAATAAGTTGGTAATTTGAATGTAAAATTCAAGCCATTAATTGGTACGTAAGTTAGAGAACATAAAATTGGTGAAGGTAAATCAAACGGTCTTGAAGCTAATTAAACCTTAATCAATACAAATTTGGAACAATTCAATTCAAAGTCAAAATTGATATTAAGGGCATTTATAACTGCTTTTGTGGATTACGTGATTGTTTTTTTCAGGATCTTATTTTAATACGTTAAAATTAGCGTACCTTGATTGCAATCCTCATGTTTAGGCTTAAAAAAGCATATATTGATCTTCTCTTGTTGAAGACAAAAATATTTGATTTCGAATGCTTTACAGATTCCAATACTAAACATGTTATAAAAGAAAATAATGAAGCAAGCTTAAGAGCAAAGGCAAATTAAGAATGAAAGGATTGCTTTTGGTGCTTTACCATTATCTTCTTGCCTAAATGAATATTAAAAGATTTATTTTCTTATACATAATAAATCAGTTCATACCAAGAACATTAATTTGTTGAAAGAAAAGAATAAACATTATTTTCAATATCAAATTCATACCTTACTTCTTCATATCATTCACTTTTCTTTGCTTTATATATTCCTTCTTGTTTTTATACTTTTCTTTAAGGGAGACAAACCAGTCTTTCAGAACAAAAATATTTCCGTAAATCTCTTTGTTACAGATTCTAACTCATAACATTTATTTAAAGAAAAGAATGATCTTGTAACAAGGATGGAACCAAGCAACCTTGAGAGCAAAGGCAAATTAAGGATGGAATCAATTACATACCTTGCTTCTTCTTCTCATTCAAATTTTCTTTGCTTTTTATGCTGTTATCATTTCACAACACAACCATTCATTCTCTCATTAACCCTCCATCTGATTGTGTTTTCCTCCTCTCTGTTTAAAACTAAACCCAAATATTTCTCTCAAATCCTTGCTTCAAATCCTACATTTTATCCTTCAACCACTCAATAGAATTCTCTCCTTATACCCAAAAAAATAAAGCAAGCCATGGAATTTGTTTCTTCAATTGCTGGGAAGGTCGCGGACTATTTGTTTGTAGCTGCTAGCGGTCAACTTGGTTATTTGATTCATTACAATGACAACGTTAAAGACTTGAAAGAGAAAGTAGAGGCACTTGCTGGTCGCAGAGAGAGGATACAAGTGAAAATTGATACTGCTAAAAGAATTGGAGAAAGTATCTTCACTGATGTTCATAACTGGATGGAAAAAGTTGATAAGATTTCTGCAGAAACTGAAAAGTTTTTTGAAGATGAAGTCAAAGCAAACAAGGGGTGTCTCAAAGGGTGGTGCGTTAATCTCGGACAACGCTACTGGTTCAGTAAGGCGGCAAAGAAGCATACTCTGGAGATTTCTGATCGGCTCCAAGAAGTGGAAAAGTTTGAGAGTGTGTCTTGTCGTGCTCCTCCGCCTGGAATTATATCGTCATCGAAGTTATTTTCTTCAGGCAATTTTGAATCTAGAAATTCAATTAAGAAGCAAATCATGAAGGCGTTAATTGATGATGATCATGTCAGCATAATTGGAATATGTGGGATGGGGGGCGTGGGTAAGACCACGCTACTGAAAGAAATCGGCCAACAAGCAAAAGAAGAAAAGATCTATGATGCAGTAGTGATGGCGGTTGTCTCTCAAACCCCGAGTATTATGAAGATTCAAGGCGACATTGCTGACATGTTAGGTGTAACAAACTCCTTGCCGCCTAATTCTGAATTAGCAAGAGCAACTTTCCTATGGGAGAGAATCAAGAAAGAGAAGCGGATTCTTGTGGTGTTGGATGATATTTGGAGAAGAATCGAATTGGATGAGATTGGTATTCCTTTCGGTGATGACCATGAAGGTTGCAAAATTGTGATCACTTCTCGAAGCAAACTTGTATGTAATCAACAGGATTGTCAAAAGGTATTCACAATTGAAACGTTATCGAAACAAGAAAGTTGGGTTCTTTTCAAGGAGATTGTCGGCGAGATTGTGGAAAATTCTGATATAGACTTAATTGCAAGAGATGTAGCTGCTAAATGTGGTGGCTTGCCAATTGCAATCGTGACTGTAGCAAGAGCATTGAAGGGAAAGAACAAGCATGTCTGGACTGATGCAGCACGACAACTTAAGAAGTCCACCCCATCAAATATCCCAGGAGTGGAGAGCAACATTATTTCATCTCTGGAATTAAGCTTCAATTATCTCGAAACTATGGAGGCAAAATCACTTTTCTTGTTTTGTAGCTTATTTCCAGAGGATTACGAAATTCCGATTGAAGATTTGGTTCCATACAGGATCGGTTTAAGGTGGTCTGAAGACTTCGATGAGAAGATAGAAGATGTCAGAGATAGAATATTTGGTATTGTAAGTACCATCACCTCTTCTTTTCTCTTAATTGATGAAGGTAAAAATTTTGTTAAAATGCATGATGTTATCCGTGATTTTGCATTAACGATAGCTCCTAAATACAACCATAAATACATGGTGAAAGCTGGCATTGGTTTACAAGAGTGGCCAAATAGAGATACATTTGAAAATCTCACATGTATCTCATTGATGGCAAATAAGATTAGGGAGCTGCCTAATGGGTTGGAATGTCCAAAATTGCAGGCTTTGTTACTACAAGAAAATAGTAATTTGGTTGTCCCTAGTTGTTTCTTTCAAGAAATGAAAGATCTCAAAGTTTTAGATTTGAGCAAAACCGGACTCTTGTCATTGCCTGAATCACTTTCATTTCTTTCAACTATTAGAACACTAAATCTTAGTGATTGCGATTTGGGGGACCTATCAGTGATTGGAAGTCTAAGTAAACTAGAGATTCTTAGCCTTTACAGATCTTCTATTCAAGAGATCCCTGATTCCTTTAGCCAATTAAGTAATCTCAGGTTATTAGATTTGAATAATTGTTGGGAGTTAACACTAATACCTCGTGGTGTTATACCGTCTCTTAAAAAGTTAGAGGAGTTGTACATTAATAGATTTAAGCAATGGGAATTTGAAAGTGAGAATTTGAAAAGCAATGCCAATCTTGTTGAGTTAGAAGCCTTGTCTCGATTGACTCATTTAGAGATTTCTATTTCAAACCTTGACCTCTCACCAAAATTGTTGGTATTCCCAAATAACCTGTCCAAATTTAAATTAAGAATAGGTGATACCGAATATAACGATGATTATTTGGATAGCAATAGATACTCAAGAAATATGCATGTCTCAAAAACTAGCATTTCAAAAATACATGATTGTGTTAAAGGTTTGCTCAAAAGAACTGAGTGTCTATTTTTAGAGAAAATTGCTAATTTAGAGAGTATTAGCCATAACCTAGTTGAAGAAGGGTTCAATGAATTGAAGTATCTTGATATCACATCATGTGATGAGATAAAGTATCTCCTAAATACATTGGAATGGACACCAAACTCAATTTTCCACAATTTAGAGGAATTGGTTATCGATTATAATCCCAACTTGGTTGAACTATGTCATGGACAACCTCCAGCCCAGTCTTTCAGTAAATTAAAACTTTTACGAATGGCAGGGTGCCATGAAATGGTAAATGTTGTTCCAAGTCATTTGTTACAAAGCTTTCAAAATCTTCAAACTTTTAAAGAACGTGACTGTAGATCATTGGTGTATATATTTGATTGTAAAGATATTAAGATTGCAGAGGGAGAAGCCAAGTTACTATCATCGTTAGAGCTTCTAGAATTGAATGAATTGCCTGAGTTGTCACATATATGGAATGGTGACCATCAATCCATAAGCCTTTGTAGCTTGAAGAGAGTACAACTTTTGCATTGCGATAAGTTGATAAAACTATTTTCACCAACTCTACTCCAAAACCTTATTTGTTTGGAAGAAATATATATAAGGGATTGCAATAATTTAGAGGAGATCTTTGGGAAGAAAGAAACTTTGGACGAGGAGTTAGACCACACCATAACCTCCCCTAGTTTGGGAAACCTGACTACCATACAAATATATGATTGTGATAAATTAAAAAACCTCTTCACCCCTTCCATTGTCAAATGCCTGGTGAAGCTCAAAAGTCTTAAAATATGGGGATGCTCAACAATAGAAGAAATAGTCACAAATGAGAAAGGAGAAAAAGAAGCATCAATAGAGAGGATAGTGTTTCCTAGTTTGTACTACTTGGACCTTTATTATTTGGACAACCTCACTTGTTTTAGCTCTGGATCATATACTATTGAATACCCATCATTGGAGAGGCTAGAGATAGGTGAATGTGGAAAAATGAAGACCTTTGGTTATGGAGAGCAAGTGACACCCAAGCTTAAAAAAGTGCTTGTAGAAGGTTGGGTTGAACGTTGGAAAGACAACTTGAATGCCACAGTGCAAGAGTACTTCAATGAATAGGTATGTACTTGATGATCCAAGAGCTATATTACATGTTGTAATTAATATTGTAAAGTTTGACCATTTTGCATTGATGATCTTCTCATTGATGCACTTTATTTGAATTAAATGTATATAAATATGACATTCAATTCAATAGAGTAACAGTATATATTAATACAAATTGATTTGTGTTTAGATTAAAAGGAAGGAATGAGCTTTGGATAATGGTGACCAAGTTGAGAAAGTGATGTGCTAACAAAGGTAAAGTGTTTTAAGATTTGAGATTGAATGAATAACTTTATCAACATTCATGCTTAGCTAGTTGCCAAGAGTTTCCCAACCCAATACACTTTTTATATGCAATCTGTTATGTATATCATCATGTCAATTATACAGAAAATTGTATATAAAATCTAATGATTATTTTTAACATAAAGCCCAAATCAGATAACAAAGTTATTTATTTATATAAATGAATATGCCTGTGTGATAAATTGATTTGCATAAATTTTCATAAACATTAGTTTAGTTAAAAATTATAAAATAAATACTACTTCTTAAATTTAATATTATAAGTTTTATACAGAAAATTGTATATAAAATCTAATGATTATTTTTAACATGCCACAATACAATAAAGTCCAAATCAGGTAACAAAGTATTGTATTATATGACGGCCCCACGTGTCTCCTTTCCCAACTTTTTCATTTTGATTTCACCTGCATTTCAACTTTTTATTAAATTTTAAGGATATTTTAGTAATTAAAATTATATGCTCAGCTTGTTAATATTCACATAATAAGCTCAATTTATTATGCGAATATTGTTTCTATTTCTTAAAAAAAAAAAAAAAAAACAAATTATACATTTTAAATAATAAATCTCATTATATTAACTGTGTAATAATTTTTTATATTCTATATTTAAAATTATACATTTTAAATAATAAATTTATAGGGGTGTCTATTATTAATAAGCTTATTATTTTTGTAGATGAATCAGACATGAGGATCAACTTAAAATAGAGAGTGAAAATGGTATGAATCATAGTTTATTATATACTATTTATTAAGTATTATTGATCAAAATAAGAAATTGTGATAATTTACTTTGCTTGATTGTTGATATGATTGTATATATATTCAATCTTGCATAGATACTGTTTTTATTTTTTATTTTTTAAAACAAAGCTAATATTTAATTATCAATTAAAATATTCACAGAAAAATTAGTTTATACCTTATATTAGATTTTAAGGTATTTTAGTAATTATTATTTATGTAATTAATTTTTCATTCGCAAATCCTTCTTAAAGTACATAATCACTTTTCAAAATACTTTTACTAAGACAAGTTAATCATGTAAAATTCTAGTAATTAAAATTAAAATCTCTTAAATTAAAAAATGAATTTTATTTTTTTCATTTTTTTAAATTTCTAAGTGATAGATTGACATTTATTGGACACTCCATAAAATCTAAATCATTAATTTCTTTCTCGAAAAATAAAAAATAGCACCTTAAAATTGATAGGACTAAAATATATATATATTAAGGAACCCATATAAGTTTAATTTCTTTATGTTAAAACTTAAAATACGAAAATTATATATAAAGTACTTGAAAACGCGAAAAATGAAAACTGTCTTCTCCATGTTTGTCTAAAATAGAAAAACAAAATAATATTTAATACTAATACAATAGATAAAATTACTTTAAAATATCATTTATTTTGTTTGTCTTGAAAATATGTTACTTTAAAATATCATTTATTTTGTTTGTCTTGAAAATATGTCTCAAATATGTTAATTTTATTGATTTTTGTTTGTAATATTGTATTATAAACATAATTTAGAGTGAAAGTTTTTATTTTAAAAAAGAGAAAAATAAAATTAAAAAACTGATAGAATAAATTTTTATTACTTATTCAAAAACAGATAGAATAAATTTTATTACTCTCCACTTCACGCGCCGCCGCTCTATCACCTCCTCTGCGCGACACTATCACCACCAGACCGTCAGAGTCGCCCTACTTCAACCACTCGCCGGTGAGTTCTTGTTTCTTCCACTCCGGTTCACTAGATGACGACTCGCTCACTGACTCCGGCGCTTAGTCCTTGCCGATCCCGTTGGAGATTGTTAACTTCTGTGACGGAGTGATTGGCAGTGGTGAAGAGTCGATTCTTCCTGTTCAAACTCTGATTTCGGTGCTGGATGCTTGTCATAATCTCTCCGGCTTCCCTTGGTAAAGCTTGCTCTCTCTAGCTTATTTTGTGTGTAAATGTGTTTCATGAAGTTGAAAATTGTCACAAAGCGCTATAAAATTGTAAACATTGGTATTCTTCTTTTAAATTCTTTTATATCTTCCTTTTCATGGTTAATGAAATTCACTCTTGAGATGTTCTGTTTTAATTAGTTGGTGTATAAGGACTTTTCAGGTGGGTAATTATTGCTACTTCGACTTGGGCATTCAGACTTTCGTTGCTTCCTGTTGTTATTTTGCAACTTCTTAAGCTGCGAAAGATAGGAGAGTTATCTCTTAAATGTAAGTCTGCTTTTTCGTTTTACTTGCAATTTGTTTGTAGCTCTAGTTACTTCTGTTCTTTGGAGTTCTCGTCAGTACACATTCGCTAGAGAATAAAACTTGAAAACACAAATGCAGTAGAGTAAATTCTGCTATATGCTATTTTCTTTCTTGAAGGTGTGATATCATATAGCAATAAGGTGGACCGAAGAGGATATCTAGATTAGGATTTGTAAAACCTTATATATTTGTGGAATTTTAAAGTTATGCTAAGATTACTGGCTTGTTAATAATTAATGAGAGGTTGTCAAGCGACATGAACTATTAACAAATTAAGTTTAGTTGGCATTTTTTGCCAACTTGAGTGTAGATTGTGGTAGAATATTGTTGATTTTTTTGTTTTTGCTTCACCTTGACGGGCATGTTGTGGTGTCCCTAAAGCCTGTATCTGATGTATAGACTCCTGTCCATGATTTGTTTTTTAAAGGAGTTGGAGTTGGAGTAGGAGTAGAAGTAGGTTTTGGGGGTCAATACGTTAAGAGAGAAGGGAGGAATGATTTCTTCCTTGAATTGAAGGTTTCTTCCAAAAATTCGTCTATCTGATGCTCAATGTTGTATCATTGTCTTTGATGCCATCATCGTTGGTAAGGGCATTTATGCATACAATGGTCCGTGTACCAGTACAAGCTTCTGTTTCTGTTGTGCATGTGTTTTTTTGCAAGACATTCCAAGTGAGGCTGCAGTACTTATTGTCAATTGTTTGATATGTGGAGATATTATTCTTCTTTTCCTGCATAGAATTATGAAATTCAGACTTGCCTCAGAGGTTGAGAATCGTATGTAATTCTAGTCATTGTCCTCATTAACAGTTGGATACTAGATCATTCTTCTGGAATTCTTGCAGGGTCATTCTCCCTCCCCCTTTCATTGTTGTTCATATATTTAATTTGCAATGAATTTTTGTTCGACTCTCGTATGCATTTCTCATGGTGCCTTTGCCATTTCAACCACCCCAGTCAAAAAGGAGTTTCATTGATCAAATTTCACTTTTTCAGAGAAAAACAAAAACAATCGGGTGTCCCTCATTTCTGTGGTTCCTTGCCTCCTTGTCCATCCAGGTGATACAGCTACATATATTGTGTAAATAACTTTACCTTTCTTCTCCCATCTCAAACATAGACACACAGACCTCGAAAAGAAATACACATCTCCTAAATGAAAAATATATATAGATGTTAGCCAGTTATTTTTGTACTATTATTGTTTTCTTTGCTTTTTATTCTTTTGGTATTTTGATCTGTTTGTGTTCTGTCCTTTAGGCGGAAACTTTAAGCAACAGTAGCCTAGTATCTAGTTTGGTTGAATAAATTTTATTACTTAGTTTTTTGTTGTGTTTTGTTCAATTCTTCAGGTCCCATGTTTTATGTTAGGTTTTACCAGTATTCAGAGAATGTCAATGGAAGGTCATCCAGGGTTTGATTGTGTTAACACTAATTTAGAAGTAATTAATTATTTTATAAACTATAACAATCCAAAATTAAGTCTAAATAAAATCTCCTAAATGCTGATTGTTTTTGTAGGAAGAAGAAGACGAAGAAAAAGAAGATGAAGAACTTCTTTTGAAAGATACTAAGATGTTGATGCAAGAGATTGTAATAATTTGATTTGCTCTATCATTCATATGATTATTTTGTATATATATTTTCTACAAATATTAATAGTGTGTGTAAAAGCTTTTATATTTATTCTTTGTAATTCATGCATAATCATTTTTCTCATTTTATTTTTTATTGTATTTAGTCTTATTTGAGAGGTAAGGCTCATTACGTCCCCCTCTATCTAAGTGTCATTTTTTTTTTCAATTAATAAAATTTTCCTCGTACCGTCGAGGTTTGCTTAAAAAAATTAATAATATAAGATTTTATTTACGATATAATTGAAATTTACTTATTATAAATTGGGTGTATGACACTTTTAACCATATTGTCGTGAAAGATATTTAAAGTCAAATATGTTATTATATCCAATTCACATAAGAATATTTTTCAATATACTCAATCCCACATGAAATATAACTTCTAAAAGTTATTTATTTATATAAATGAATATGCCTCGAATGTGATAACAAACCAACGAAGTAGACATGCATTCAATCGAGAAACTTGTCGTCAACCCCAGAGAATTATAGGAACTCAAATCAGAATTCCATAAAGAATAGCACTGCCAATACCAGAGAACATAAGTTTAATTTCTTTAGGCTTAAACTTAAAATACGAAAGAGTTATATAAAGTGAGCTAGTTAACGATGTTTTCTAGCTGACTCAAACAGATAGTTCATCACTTTCTTACGGTGCTGAGACATCTGCACTACTACAAAATAACTATATATAGATATATAAGAGTGAAACTTAATATGAGATAGAACAAAAATAGTAATTAGTTCTTCATGTTCATGTTTTTCTTCACTTCCTCAGCATGTTGTTTGACGGTTTCCTTGGAAGCTTCAGCATTGCCCATCAATGATTCTTTAGCCTTCTGAGCTGTATCCTTAGCTGAGCCCCATGCTCCTTCCACTGTTTGTTTTGCCTTCTCAGAAACATCCTTTGCTGTTTCACCCACCTTTCCTGCCATTTCCTTTGCATTTTGATTCATCTACACACATATATGTTCACCAATTATATGCTTATAGAATTTGGGATATTTCAATTCAATTCAAGTTGCATTGAGTTCTATATATTTAGTCTTTCGTTCGCCACTAAAAATATGGACTATCTTGACACACGATGGGAGCCGGCATAGCCATTTCCTACATCAAAGTCTACCTAATCTGGCGCAATACGAAGCGTTAAAATGGCCACCTTACCATAGGACAAGCCCTAGGTTCTTCAATATACTTAATTTTTTTTTTTTTTAATTCGTTATTGTTTAAAAAAAAATGTATTCATTACATCGATCAATCAATTTCAATAAAATTTTCATCATTTTTATAATACTATAAGTATTGATCTCAAGAGTAGTCTTTCTTAACGTGTATCCTTAAATATATATACTAACAAATAAATTAATAAAAAAGAAATTAACAAAATATTATACTTGTTCAGCAGTAGAGGCGGCCTTGTGTTGGATATTTCCACCAGTCTTCGTTGCCTCATCAGCCCCTTGTTTAACAGCCTGTGCCGTCTTATCCATTGTAGCTTGAGCATCTTGATGTGAACTTGCCTATAACCAAAACAATTAATTAATTGCTTCTTATGTATTATATATATATGGGAAGATTAATTTTTTACCTCAAGACTCAACGTGACAGTCGATAATTGGTTTCTGATAAATTTTTTCACCGGATGATGAACTCATTAGAAACTAATTATCAACTGTCACGTTGAATTTGTGAAAGAAAATTTAGTTTATAAGATTTGTTTATCAATCTACTAGGGGTTTTTAATATCCTGCCGAGGTGAATACTTGGGATTACCCTATTCCTTAGGGTCGAGGAATTACCCACATTCTTGAGTATTGTACCCGAGACTGGGGACTAATATTTATCCCCAGCTACGCCCCTGCTACAGACCTACCATTGCTATAAAGTAAACTAAATACCTGAATAAATCTTGGGGCTCCAGCCACAAACAGCCTAGGATTCCAAGTGCTTCTTCTGGCAATTGCAACTCTAACATGACCAACCTTTGTGGCAGCTGTGATTAAACTTGCCATTTCTTCTTGTTTTCTTGATTATTTTCTGAACGGGTCTTTTTTGTAATTAAGAATGAGAAAACTTTTCAACATAAATTGAGTGAATAAATGGAGTATATAAAGAGGAGAATATGTACATCCATTTTAAGGTTATGTGTTTTACAGTCAATTAGATCCATTATTTCTGAGAATGACTGGTTTTACAGTCAATTAGATCCATTATTCCAGGGCCATTTCATTACTAGTTCCAGGATTTATATTTTTACATAATTTATTTATTTATTTTGGTCAGGAGTAAAGTTCGTCGGGATCATGTACTCTCAACCGAAACTCAAATTTGTGATTGATAGTTATAAAAAAGAATGAAAAGAAATACTAGCCACACGATATTAAATTATGATATCGATAAAAGATAGGTAAAATAAGACAAGGGATAATCAAATTCTAATTTTAACAGTTTAAATTTTTTTTTTTTTTTTAATCATCAAGGGTGTTTGGGCTAGCTTACGCGCATCTTAACTAATTTCTCAGAACCCTGAAACTGCCGATCGGATAAGAACCTCGGTGGTCATCCCTATGAGTGCCTAGAGAAACTCAAACTTAAGAGCTCATGAAACTTTCTTTTACTCTTTTATTATCAAACCATTCAGTAGTGGTTTTAATAGTTAAAGTTCAAGTATCCTTTCAGAATATTAGCTGACTAATTTAAATTGTATAGGATATACTGAGTAAATGAATTCAAATGGAAGAACTAAACTAATTAAGATCAATTTATTAAATTAAATGCACACAGTAATACACCATGTGATTATTAATTTTCAGCAATGTTTTTATACTTTATACAATACACATGTATGCGCGCACACACAAATATGTACTCATGAACTATGTAGGAACGCACACCTTTGATCAGCATGTTAGAAATTTCTCCATTACGCTTATATATATATATTACTTTTACACGAGTTTTCATAATCTCATAGAATGTTTAATAATTCTATTGGGTATATATGAAATAAACTTTGAAATTAGATTTGACTTCTGCCAAGAGACTGGCATTTTTAGAAATGAAAATCAACCTAGACATTTGACATTTGGACACAGTTTTAGAAGACAAAGTCTAAGCATCCGGTTGAAGTGTTGAGAAAATTTCTTTCCTATCTCTTGTTGCAGAATCTTGGAATGAGCAGTAAGGTTTCAACATTTTGTTGAATTTTTAACCAGGAAGGCATCACAAACTTGCAGTAAGAGGCAGCAATGGCAGAAATCATAAATGTAAACAAGCAAGACTGGAGATGCCGGACCCTCTAGGGTTTCAAAGATGGATTAAATGAGGACGGGTTTTAATCGGATCGAATTTCATATCTGCCTTATTCGAGAGGGTCACTCATAGTATATGTAAGAGACATCCTCCCTTTTTGTTTGATAGGAGCTTTCCCCAAACCTTATAATCTTTGGGAATCAAAAAATAATGACCTTTAACTAGGTAGATGCAGATGAGAGAACTTGAACACCGAACTTGGTGGGAGCCTTCTATAGAACACCTAAAATCATACAGGTTAAGCTTGAAACGGACAATATGGGGTCTTCACAATACAAGGGCAAAAGTGAGAGGAAAAAATCATAGCAAATGCCAACAACCAAATTGCTTTGCATTCTAAGAGTGAAATAAACAAAAGCATAATAACCGTCTCTCTTAACTACATAATATTCTTTATTTCTGTTCCAAACTCAGGATAATAAAGTATATGTATGCATAATGAGGAAGAATTGCAAAAGTGGAAATACCCAGAACTAGAAATGATTAAAACAATCATGAACAGAAAAGCCAATACTATCTATCTCCTAAGCACCACCAGGAGTAGATGAGCCAGATCCAACAGACTTCCAAAGTTTAACCCACTGCAACATGGCATCAGCCGCATGATTAAACACAGGATCCACAGAACCAAGTCGCTCCCTCACTGATTTTGCCATCTCGGCTACACAATCTTCAGTAGTGGTTGCTGTCCGTGGCAGCCTCACAGATTGAAAGAAAGGTACAACCTCCTCCATCAGTTTCACCCCTTGCCACTCCTTTTTCAAGCTTTCTATTGGATCGCCTTTATCACTTCTCCAGACGTATGGCAGCCCAGTCTTCACTCCAAGGCCTAGGTGATCGCATATAACCTTGGCACACATTCCAGACCAAATATCTTCAATTGTTTCCCACCTCAGTTTTCCTTCCCGAGCCAACCTCAGTGCAGGAAAGAGTGCAGGCCCAACCATCTCACGCTCAAAAGCAATGTTAATTCCACTGACAGGGAGCAGAGCCCTAGCTGGAACAGTCATAATTAAATCAACATATTGAGAATTCCTCTGCTGTGGCTTGAGGGCTTGTGTAGGTGCATCATAATCAGCTAAGTTGAGCCAGAGACCACATGACAATGCACAGGTCACCCCACTTCGCAGGCTAAATGGATACCCACGAACAAAATCTGCTCCGTCACGGAAAGGGTCATAGAGTGTATTAAAGAAGAAAGGGGTAGCTGGAGTGGTGAGATTAGTAATATGCTGAGCAACAGGATCTACTAAATTGCCCTCATTGTCCCTAGCTGGAAGGCAATCATCATCAATAGATATGATATATTTCTTTTTCGATACAAGATACCCAAAATACCTGCATGAATAACCAGAGAACAAAATGGTACTGGAAGCACCCACAGCTTTTTCAATGTCAGGTTTCGTATAGACATGATGGTCAAAACCTTCTGGTATGTTGAGTTGCTCCTTGAGATCAGGATCTTTAACGATTATCAAGTGGAATCGAGAGAAAACCGGTCTCCATTCATTCAAAAATGATGTCAGGTCAGGTTGCAGTGCTCCTATGACAATGTCAATGTCACTGTCTTTGATGTCTTCTTGATTCATTTTCCCCAACTGGAATAACAATATTCAAAGCCAACAACTTCTTTAATCTCCTAACAGCAGTTCGTGTTTGATTCAAATATCTTCACGTGTACAAATTCGTAAACTCTTAAAACTTCTCAGAACATCCTGTTGAAATAATATATATATGTATATAGAATGTCAGAGAGCACTAAACTCATTTTTTAAGGGGAAACTTAAGAAATTCGTCATTACTTACTGGTAGGAAGAACAGGAGTGAGGATATGCTTGATATTAAGTGTCTGGATCAGAATGAGGACTTCATCTTTTCCAGTGGCCATGAACAGCTTTAAAACTTTCTCATTCAGTTTTCCAGCTTTTATTGTTCTCTGCCCATTACCCAAAAAAAGAAAGAAAGAAAAGGTGATATTAGAAGAATGAAAATATAACCAACATAAGTAAACAGAAAAAAGGGGCACAATGATAAGTTGCAAGACAAAGTAATCAAATAACATATCAGTAAAATTCATGACCAAAAGTGTTTATGTAGGTTTCTGATAAGATCTAACAAAAGCTATCATACAAAGTAACTTTAGTGAAAAACATTTCAACCAGCAGTTAAACTCAAGAGATATCGCCACTAGTGGCCACAAAACTTGAACCTAGATGCACACCTTAAAGTTGCAAGATCAGATCATCCATCAGAATTTCTATTGTAATTTGCCGGAAAGTAAAAAAGGATACAATAAAAGAATTCTGATTTAAATTTGCTTTGCATAACCGAGATAATTATAAATTTAACTAGCCTAGTTATCCAAGAAGAAACTAAAACCCTCATAATCAAATCAACATGCCAATGTCAAGGTCTTGTGGCCCACTAACACCCGACGACTTCATAACAACTAGTTCAACTAGTCCAACTTGTCACCAACCTCAATCTTTCTTCTTCATAATCTGCTTGTTACCAGATCTAAGTTTACTCTATTTAATCTTAATATTATTCATTCATTTTGAAAACCCTAAAAGATCTTCTCAAGCATGAATCCCCTTAGATACCAGTTCATCTACTTAAGCTAACTAGCATAGATAAATTTTTGGATCTACTTAGCTTTTATCTTTTAGTTTCTTCTAAGATGCAGCAAAGGTATCAAACTTTCTTAGTTTCCGATCGAACCAAGGTCAACCCCATCTCAAACCCATCTTCAAACAACCATTGCAACCAGATTCGGTTAATCATTCAATAAGCCCAAGTTACAGAACAATCAGCAAACAGTAAACAAAACAAACCCCAACACATGCTTAAAAGTAAGATACAATTTGAGTATTGAATTTTTTCAGATTTTCAGCAAAATCAAGCCAATCCCATCTCAAATATAAGATCAATGTCAACATGACTTGATCACTCATAGGAGAAACCCAATTCACAGCACAATCAACAAAGCATTTACTATCATAAAAAAAAAAAAAAAAAAAAAAAAAAAAAAAAACTCAAATTTTGAACAAACCAAGTCAACCCCCATCCCATTTCCATTAAAAAGGAAAACTTTAAAAGATCAATTACAGCCTTCTTTGATCAATCTTACTCCAAACCAAAGTCACAAATCAATCAGAATAGCATTTACTATCACCCAAAGAAATCAAGACTAAGCAAAACCTATATCATTTCCACCACAAAACATCAATCTCAACCAAATTAATTCAATCGCCCGACAAACCCAACTCACAAAACAATCAACAAAGCATTTACTATCATCAAAAAACAGAAAAAGAAAAAAGATCACAATAATTTTTCAACAAAATCAAGCCAACCCCATATCATTTCCATAATTAAAAATTAACTTCAATTTCAATAAATCCAAATAAACAAAACTCAAGTCATAAAACAATCACCTCATTTACTATCATAAATTAAAAATAAAAATAAAATTAAAAAAACAAAAACAATCCCTTCCATTTTCAGTAAAATCAAGCTAACCCCATATAAATCCCCCCACAAAAGATTAGTCACAACCTGAAATCCCGAATCATCCGCGAAACCCACCTCAAAAAAAAAAAAAAAAAAAAAAAAAAATCCCTTAACACAAAAACAAAGAAACAAGATTAAAAGAGAGATAATTAATTAAAGAAGAAGAAGGGACGTACCAGGAAGAGATCAAGAAGGATGTGATCAGGGAGAGGGGAAAGATCGGAGAAATGGGAGAGATTAAGCACGGCCTTATCTATAGTTAAAGAAAGCAAAGATGGCGGTGTTCTCATTCATTCATGTAATTTAATTAATAAAAATAATTTAAGAAAGTAAAGTGAATAGAGAGAGAGAGAGAGAGAGGGAATGGATCAACGATTAATCCCCGAAATAAGCGCAGGCTGCAACGTTCTGTGTGTTTACCAAACTCTGTATTCTCCGTCTATTTCGCTCAAATGACCGACAATTTTGCTGCAAATATGCTTTTGGGTTTTGCCCTTTTTATTTTTCAATAAATTCTACGCAATTATTTATTATAGAGTCTATACTCTATAACGGCCTTTTAAGATAATAAAGGCTTCGTTTGGTTGGATTTTGGGAATACTACTTTTAGTATTCCCAAAAAAGTTAAACAGTAAAATACCCAAAAACTCATAATATTATTCAACTTTATTCAACTTTTTTTAAACCCCCTAAATTTGTTAATTTACCCCTAAATATTTTTAATGTTTTTGTTACAGCGACTCCGGCCACTCTCCGGCGGTGCTGGTCGGCTGTCCGTATTTGAGGGTGGGTTGGAGGTGTTTTTGTTAACTTTTAATATTTTATTATAGAGGGTGTTTTGTAAAAAAATAAACATAGAGGGTATTTTTTTAATTTATAAATCTTGCATCGTAATACCCGCCCAATTCAACTTTTTTTTAACTTTTTTAAAATACTTTTTCTAAAAACCCAAAATTTTGAACCAAACGAAGCCAAAATTACCCAAAATAATATACATATATGATATATAATCTACTAATTAAGGTGACAAAATTGAGGTAACTATATATTTATCATGTAATCTTTTTTAATATATCTTCAATTTAAAATTATTTGATCATGTTAAAAAAACCATTGTAAAACATTTCAGTTATATGAAATTTTTTTAAGGTTAATCACATTAATTCTCTTGAAATATCGCTAAATAAAAAAAAAAAATTAACTACTGTGCTTGTGATCGGATAGCGAGCTTTTACCCATTTGGATGAATTACTTAGAGATCTTATGTTTAAGTTTTGGATAACAAGCATTTTTACTCATTTGAAAGAATTATTCAAAGATCTTGTGTTCGAGTTTTCGCAATGGCCATCTACCGCATTTCTTATTTATTTATAAGATATTTAGTAGGTGCCAAGAATTTAACATTGATGATAAAAGTGAAATTACTCAGAGATTTTATGTTTCAGTTTCTGCAATTACCATCTACCACATTTCTAATTTATTTATAAGATATATTTATTTATAAGATATTCAGTGGGTGTCTAGAATTTAACCATGGTAATAAAAATGAAATTAACAAAACTCCCTTGAAGTTTAAGAAATAATAAGAATAGCCCTGTTATTAAATTTTCAACATTAATTTAAATAATAAAATAAACAATAGAAACAATAATTATTTATTAACTTCTAACATTCATTAAAAAGATTTTTGTTATTTTAGAGTAAAAAATAAAAAATAAAAATTGGTTGGGTCTGTATGTCTTAACCCAAAGTTGTAATAAAAAAATTAGCAAGATTTGTACTATTCTTCGAATCCTTCAAAATGCACACTCAAACACAAACAATGTTCATATTATTGGCATTTTAAGCATCAAGTTAAAACCAGAAAATTTAATTAATTAAACATCTAATTAAAACCCCTAAGTCTACTTGACTCCAACAATGGACATGAGAAACCTGAGCTTCTCATTAACTTCAACAAGATCAGAAGGGTCCTTGAACAAGGCTGGTGGCTGGATTCCTGTGAACAAGTACATTGCCTTCAGCTCCTCAATGCATGTCCCCTGTGGTGCTGCTTTGTATCCGACTATCCGGCGCATAGCGTCGATTTGTTCCCAGATTTTCTCCTCACTGTATAGCTCCTGAAACACAAAAGAAAGCAATCGTGGTAACCAGAAATGATATAAACATTAATGTTGAGCTAAGAACACTTCAAGTCAAGTCCTGTTTACCAGAATGACTATCAGGCACATACAGAGAAATACTTTTAGGGATATAAAGGCCGCACAAATCAGTTCCCATTCTAGAACATGAAGCACATTTCCAATTGCTAAAGGGAAAGAAAGAAAGACAAAAGGCAAGAGATGATCTCAAGTAATTCATCAATTAGGGCCTTAAATTTATAGCTTGTGCACACTGTCATATTATAAGCATCTGATCATAGCATTTCATTTTAGTTCACTCGTTTGAATTTTTCTAACCTTACTGGAAGCCAGACAACTGCCTTCTTGTGGGCGAATTCCAGCACCGTGACTTGCACAAATACTTGAAGAGTGCTCATTTTCTGCAGAAGCATCAATCAAGTTCATATATATAAACTAAAATTCTTTGAGAGGAAATTATCAAATTTAACTAATATTCAGTAGCTAGAACTTTACCTCCAACGGTGTTGTAATCTGAATATGAATGTGCAGCTCCATTTTTATTATCAAACAAGTCAAAGCCGCTTTCATCAGCGATTTCTCTTACATCTGCATTTGAGGAGATCACATTTTCCTTCTCCCTACTCAATTGAATATCTTTTTCTACATCCTTAGTAATATTGTTATCTGCTTCTCTCTGCAACATAGAAGGCTTGTTTAAAACTGGATTTTGCTCCTCTTTTTCGATGCTACCGACATCAGTCGTTTCAATCTTTTCGCCTATTGGTTTTAACAAACCTCCTACCATTTCTTTTGAGTCCCCCTCTTTTGAAATTACGTCCGCATTTCGCTCATCCTCTGTCTCTTGAACCTTGTAACTTTCTTTCGGAATTTCATCGTTGTCATTTTCTACATTTCCAAGAGGCTTATTGCCAATCCTGCCTTCCATTGGCATCCCCATTTCTTGAACATTCCTATTAACTTGCTGATGTCCCTCCTCTGCTTCTCCGGATAGTTTCTCTACACTCTGCTTGTTCTTCTCTTCACTATCAGTCATACCCTCCTCCCTGATTTTTTCAAGTAATCCCCTTGTCTCTTTCACCATTTCCTCATCTTCATTACTTTCATTGTTCTGACACAATTCCACAACAATGTCAGTCTCAAATGGCGCCGCGACGTCTTCAGTGGTTCCACTACTTTTCTCATCTCCCTCAGTGTCAACAACAACAGCAAGCACATCATCTAACACAGGCTCTTTTTCTTCCTCTTCTCCAACTCCTTCCATTCTCACCTCAAATTCTAATTTCGTTGGTTCTTGCTCATTTTCATCTTCATACTCGCCAACATCTTCTTCATATCCATTTTCCCCCTCTATCTCATTTTCATCTTCTCTAACAACACCTCCATGCTCAACTTCGTCAACATAATGATCATTCTCATTCTCATTCTCATTCTCAACTAACTCGATCCTCATCTCAATCGTTTCCCTCGTATCCTCCAACATCTCTTCTTCTTCCTTCTCCATATCAATACCTCCTTTAAGCCACAAATCTTCTCCTTCACCATATTCATCCACCTGGACAACTTCATCATTGTTCGACACTTTTACGTAATCCAAAAGAAATGGAGGAGGTTTAGACCCCGGAAGCAACATACTCATGAGCTTATCAGTGCAAGCGTAGCTCGCCAATAAGAGTCCATACGGGACCGAACAAGCGAACCCGAGAAAGGAGATAACCACAAGAGGAGGAACTACCACAGGTGCAGAAGATATCACAAAACCTGCCACCAAAATCTTCTTTCCCACTGCTAATCCCTTGTTCAAGATCCACCTCACTTTACCACTGCTTTCCTCTGATGAGTATTCTTGGATACTCCCCTCCGAGGCCAAGTATGGATCTTCCATCTATAATCATTTAAAAAAACTTAAGTGTTTAAATAAAATACACAAACTACTATCTTAACATATGTCTTAATGAAGATTCTCCAAACAAAAGTTTTAGAAAGAACAACTGGTATCAATAATGTAGAAGATTATATGGATTATTCAATACCAAATTTTCTTCGAGACTCTCGACACGAAGATCAACATTGGATCTGATAACCAGAAAATTTAAATTTCTACAAGCTAACAGTGGCACATCAAAAGATGAGGAAATGAATAAAGAAAATCTGGAATCCATTAAGCTAAATTACAGATAATGAAGATTAATTTAACAGTTTCATAGAAGAAAAAAGTTAATTAAATCCCGTGTTACCCGTTCAACAACCACAATAATAAATGCTTTGTGAAAACACAAACAAAAACCCCAACCTTGATCTGTTTGGCTACTCACAAACCAATTACCAGAGGAAATTCAAAGAGAATAATATCTAACTAGCAAGAATTTGACTTCATCTTTTTATCCAATATATAGAAATTTGCATCGATTACACAGACAATATCAAAAAAAAAAAACTCCATATGTTAAGTCAATATCAAAATGGGCAACATTAATTTTCTCGACTGCAAATCTTAAAAAGAAAATGCTTCCATAAACACAAAAAAAATATATGAAGGTTTACCTGAATATATATAAGAGTGCAAAGAAGAGTTGTAGTTAGCTTATAAATAATTGAGCAGGTTTCTTGGTTAACAGATATAACATTTCATCTATATTTTGAGCAGCTCTCTGCAGGTTCAAATTAGCTAGGGTTTATACGTGGAGAAGATATTAAAATAAGAATTAAGAGCTTGCATGAAGAAGACACGCGTTGAAAAGAGGAGATGGGCATTTGGAAAGGTTATGAGATGAGATAAGTTTAAACAAATGCATGCAGAAGCTCAGTGATATGATAGGCTAAGGCTCCACATTTCAACGTCGCTCTTTGTCACTCCACCATTTGTCATCTTCTCAATTCAAATTTACAGGATCTTTTTTCGGGGTGATATAGTTGTATACTTGTATCTACACACCAACATAATTTAAACATTCACATAAAAACAGAGAAAAAAAAAGGGTGTTTTTTCGATCAATTTTCTTTGTATAAAAAAGGTGTTTTCTATATTTGTGTACAGTTAAAAATACAGAAAACAATCTAAGAGCTAGACATAAGATTTGCATTAAACATTTCAATCATTTTAAAAATCTTTTATTTATACTATTATTTAATTTATTATTCATCTATCCATCCAGCTTTGAAATCATGAGTTTCATACAAACTTCTTCATAGAATTTACCACGGATTCTACGTATTTCTCATTGGTACAAATCGCGACATCATCATAATGTAATGCAATACACTAGTATGATGTTGAATAATAGTTAAAGGCTTTTCCTTGTAATAAAGTTTATACCACGTCATTTTTATCGATATTAATTAAACAAGGTTGTGAACGCCTACAAGAGAAACAAATTATATGTAACACACACACACAAAAAAAAAAGAAAAAAAAAAAAACTACTTAATAGTTAATATATGTGTATAAAAGAATAATCCTCAAGTTACGAACAGTAAATCAAGAGAAATTTGACATGCGTTTAAATTTTATTATCGTGCAAATCTTAAATTTAAATTATGTGTATTAATAAGTTGATACACGTATAAATTTAGATCAAAAGGTCGATATTATTCAGAGTTTACCTTTTTTATCTTTGTATAATACAAAATAACATGGGTTAGAAAAACACTCACTTTGTCTCCCTTTATAATGTATGGTGAAGATTGAATTATGTGGACATTAATTCATAAATTACTATAAAATAAATCAAAATAAAACATTCAATTGATTGATTATTTTTTGTATCAATATGAATAAATAAAGAGTGGTGATAAGGAAGCCCACTATTTCTCTAAGTAAACCCCACCCCAAGGGGAAAATGGTCATAAATGAGCCCAACACATTTAGGCCCGCCAGGCCGCCACTCAAAATGGCCAGGCTTGAATTGAAAGTACCATTAGGAAAATTTTTATTTAAAAAAAAAAAAAAAACCACAATTAAATGAAAGTTTTGAAAAAATAAATTACATCAACAAACATAAATCAGTTTTAAAATATTCTAAAAAAAATTAAATTAATACATAATTATGGAAATATCAACTACATTAAACATTATTATAGAAAAACATTACAGACAACAGAATACCCCCATAGATTTGGGTACTTGAGGGCTATTATCTCCATTGGGATGAGACTGAGATAAACGAGCTACCATATCAAGGTTATGAGAGAAAATTTGAAGAATTGAGTGTAAGTGTAGTATTGTTCAATAGAAAACCATATATATATATATATATATATATATATATGAATAAAATCTTAATGATCCTTGAGGAAGAGAAATAAATAAAAGGTTAAGAAATAAAAAATATTGTGACACAAAAGAAATTATTTTATAATTTAGTTATTTTTAATTGTTTTGGCTAAGACTTATTTAAATTTTCTAGTTTAAAATATTATTACAATATTTTATAGTTATTTTTATTTAGAAAATTAGTACAGAAATAGTTTAGTTAATTATAATGCTATTTATTTATAATATAATCGCTTTGAGAAAAAAAAAAAAAAAAAAGGTTTATTTATCTAAATTTATGTTTTGTGCACTTAACTAAGTAGAAACATAATTAAAATGCTTTAATAGACTTATTATTTTTATTCCAAATTTTATTTAAATTAAAAAATTAAATTATTAATTTTTTATTAAAAATAAAAAATTATATAAAATAAAAATCTAATAGAAAATATCAGGATAACGTATTAAAAAATTATTTATTAACAAATAAGCTCAATTTAAGTAAAACACGTGATTTATAGTCGAATTATTTTTCATAATAGCCCTTCAAATATTTATATTTTAATTCAGCCCACTTACCTTCAATTTCTCATTCCAAATGGCTCACGGTCACGGATTCCTCCTAGCTCCCGGATTCCCCAGTCTCACATAAGAACCACGAACTGCTACTCAAGAAGAGAAAGAAACCAAACAAACAAAATAAACGAAACCAAATAAAGAAGCGAAGCACAAATGAGGATCGTGCGCAGAGATTTAGTACCCAATGGACCTGGAAGCGTCAAGGTAAAAGCTCCGAAACCCAATTCAATTTCTGCTTATTCATGCTGTATCGTGCTGTAATTGTGAATTTGACATATGGATAATCGCGCTTTTTCCAGATGGTTCCAGTGGATTCAGATGATCTTTGGTTTGTGTATAATCTCATAGCTCCTGGAGACTCCGTTATGGCTGTAACTGTCAGGTTATAACTTCTCTTTGTTTAAAGTTTTGTCTTTTTTTTTTTTAATGTGTTTTCAGGCTATATTTTTGCTCAGACTTTAATGGGTCAGTTTCAAAATCAGCTTTTTCTTTCTCTTGGAAAAAAACTGGTAATTTTGATATGATATAGGCTGTGTTTCTGGAGGGTAGGATCATAGAAAGGTACCGGCACGGTAACGTCACTGGGTTGATATGTTAGTTAGAACTTAGAAGTGGCATGTTTTGGTTCTTGTTCTGGCTTTAAAGGATCAGTTTTAAATCGGCCTTTTTTTTTATTTTTTTGTTCTTCTTTTCCTTGTGAAAAAGTGGTAATTTTGATATGATATGTTTGGCTGTGCTTCAAGGGGGTCGGGTCATAGAAAGGTACCAGCCTCGGTAACGTTGCTGGGTCGATATGTTAGTTAGAAGTGGGATATTTTGGTTCTTGTTCTGGCTTTAATGGATCATTTTTAAATCAACGTTGTTGTGAAAAAAATGGGAATTTGATATGATACGGTATAATGTGTTTCTGAAGGGTAGGGTCATGCTACGGTACCAGCTGGGTAATGTTACTGGTTTGGCTACAAGTAGCATGTTTGGTTTCTTGCTCATTCTGTAGTGGGTCAGTTTTAAACCAGCTATTTTGGCTTGTGAAAGACTGAGAACTTTGGTATGGTTGATATTTTTGCTCAAAGTAGCATGTTTTGGTTCTTCTTCAATGTTCATGCTTTAGTAGGTCAAGATATTAATCCACTTTTGCTTGTGAAAAACTGAGAACTTTGACGTTATATGATAATACATGTTTTTGGAGGGTAGGGTCATACTATGGTAATGGATCAGTAACTTTATTGGACTGATATGTTGGTTACAGTATATTTTGGTTCCGTGTAGGAATGTTTTAATAATTTAGTATATAAGATAGATGGTTTGAAATCGTTTATAGTAACTAGCATATTGCTACATGTAAACAAAATATCGCCTTTGTCTCATTGCAAACCCCTGGAAGGTAATTAGACGAAATGAGTTGAAACTACATTTTTATATAGATTGATGTGATGTAAAGAAAAGAAAAGAAAAGAAAAGACAATGGATAACTGAGAAGAGAATATTTAAACAGATTAAGATAAATGACATAATAATCACATTGTAGTGTATGAAAGAGCTTGTATGTATAGTATATGAAACTGAGACTTTTGTTGAGCCATTTTGTTTGGTAACTTGAGGTGTTAGGGTCATTTGGTTGGATTGATTATAAAATTTCATTTGATGCAACTTTTAGATTAGATTATGAAATTTCATGACTTAGTGTTAGATCTCATTACTAGCTTTGTGTTTTTGGTTGTTTAATCAAGATAACCAGTTTCTTGATACTATGTTTGATAGTTATTGTTTTCATCTTGTAATAGGAAAGTTTTAAGAGAGGCGGCATCTGGTGGAAGAGATGCTGAACGTGTGAAGCTAAAACTAGAAATCAAAGTTGAGGTAAAATTTTTGTTGAATGGGTAAATTAATGTTGTTTCTATCCTTCTTTCTTTTGTTTTCAATATACAACAGGGTTGCCACATGAATGTAGCATAGATAGAGCTTTTATCTATTCGAAATACACTGTTTGTTTATGATTATTCAATATCCTTATCTTCTTGTGTTTTTTAGGTTGCAGATTATGACAAAGAAGGGTCTGTGTTGCGTATTCGAGGAAAGAATATTTTAGAGAACGAATATGTGAAAGTAAGTGCTGCATTGCATTGAACTTGGCTTAAATAAATGTATGATTTTTCATCTTCTCCTTTGGCCTCATCACTTTGTTGCAGATTGGAGCATTCCATACTCTGGAACTTGAGCTGCATCGACCTTTTGTGTTAAGAAAGGTATGATGCCCTTGTTCACTCATTTAAATCTAGAACATTCATGTCCTTTTGCTTTCAACTTATGTGTGAACTAACTCTTATGGCAAAATCTATGTAATATGTGTCTACATGTAATCGGGTAAATATGCTTCCCTTGATAATCACTGAATCTGTAGGTAAGTTTAGTTACTGTTTTCTCTTTATGCATATTACTGCTTAAAAATTGCATTTTATTAATATGTCATGAAGACCGATATGTTCATAGGCTTGTGGTTGCAAGGAACCATTTTGTGGCCTTGGTAGTAGAACTAAACTTTCTAGGGAAACAGAATTTGTGTTACACAAACTCTAATTAGGACACTGTGACACAGATTTGTCACTTTGCTCTATAGTGCCTGTGACAACGGCGGTAGGGTGCAAATATGGGTTGGATGCGGCAACAAAATATTGGTCACAGCAGGTTTTAGCAAGACTGAGCGTAGTGAAGCTTATTCTTGTCAACAGAAGGAGCAACTGGTGCCGCGCAAAGAGATATATGGTATCAAGAGGGAGATTAGATTGAGAAAGAGAGAATAAAGGAAGCTGTCTAAAAGAGGCAGGGTAAGTTCCTGCTACCCGAGCCACATGCAGTAAAAGCTCAAACTTTTACTTCTAAGAAAATTTCAGAATTATTTTCTTAAAAGGATAAACTGCCAAATGTATGTAAGAGCTCCAGTCATGCTAAAAACTTAGTTCCACTCGAGCCAGGCTAAATCTATGAAAGTGCAAACAAAGACCGAAGACATGTAGATGTCTTCAAAACAGGACACTTCAGCCTACACTTGGACAGTGGAATATATATCCTCTGAGCTGCAGGGGACACATATCCCACACTTGTGTCCAACCTATGGACCATTTTGGCAACGTCCCCATTCATCTGTTTTTGAGGGTTGGATGAGTTGAGCTCCTGGCTCCTAACTTTAGCAAACACTCTCACCTGAGTCAATGAAACTTAGAGAAGATCAAAACATGAATGATTTGCAGATTTTGGTGCTTCAGATTTGCAAAATATGCATTTTCAAGGACCTTTTTTTATAATTTATTGTGTCTTCTCATCGTCTATAATATTGTGATTGAAAACTAGTTTATACTTGTATTCTGAAACAGTTAATTCTTTTAAGCTGTTTAGTTCTTGCCTTTCTGGACACCTGGTCCTTTTGTAAATCCCTTTTCCTCATTAATGTGTATTTTCTAGTTTCCTTACCCCAAATAAAAAAAAAAAAAAAAAAAAAAAATTCTATCGACTGATTTGCAGCATGCCATTTTCTGTAACTTTTAGGATCTTTGGGACTCATTGGCTTTGGATGTACTTCATCAGGCATCTGGTATGCTTTCTGAATCTCTCAACTCTCTTTAAAGAATCCAAATTATATGCATTGAAATTAGGGTTTAGGGTCGCTATCATCTTGTAAGTTGATTTGCAAAGCAGGACCTAGATTGATGTACTTTTAAAAGTCTATTTATCTTCCTGGTGTACCTTGATGGTGGCTAATTTAAAAGTATATGTAAAAGAAATCCTCTGTTGATTTAACCAATGTCACCTTGACTATAGTACTCCCACTGTGTTTGAATCCAAGAAATAAATAGAACTACATTGTTTCTCTATTCCCTAATGATTGATTTGATTGGTGAAACATGTGTTGACTTTGTGTTACTAAAGGTTGTTTATCTGATTGTCTTCAACCGTTGTTCTTTGAATTTCAGATCCTACTGCCAGTGCTGATCTTGCTGTGGTTTTAATGCAAGAAGGATTAGCTCAAATCTTGCTTATTGGTAGAAGGTGTGTGTAATATCTGCAATGTTATATATATATAAGGTGTAGTAATATCTGCAATGTTATTTTCTTCCTGTGCACTGGTTTCTTTGAGAGTTTAATCTCCCTTTGTTCATGTGGCTGATAATAAACAGTATGACAACTACTCGATCACGGATAGAAACTTCAATTCCTCGCAAGCATGGGCCTGCCATTGCTGGTTATGAGTCGGTACGTGTGTTTGGGTGGATTGATGTTATGATGGAAATTAAGAGTCTAGTTGTTGAAACTTATCAATTTATCTCCTTATTGATTGTCTTCTACAGGCTTTGAAGAAGTTTTTTGAGAATGTTCTTCAGGTAAGCTTCACTTGGGTTATAACACCACAGCTTTATATCCCTTTTCCTAATACACATGCCCTTTCTATTTGAATACTTAAGAGCATTTCTGTATTTTCTAACAAATTCAATATGTGTCAGGCTTTCCTGAAACATGTTGATTTCAATGTTGTTCGATGTGCTGTGATTGCGAGTCCTGGTTTCACAAAGGTTGGTGATCAATGTCTGTTATCATTTCTAGTTTGAACTTTGAAAAATTACCAAGAATCCGGAATCTTATTGAAAAGACGACTTGTTATTTTTGTAATCATATCTACATCACAACTTATGAAATCAAAATTTTGAAATATCTTCTTCATAATTAATGTTTGAATGTTCTGTTCTTCTATGTGATTCAGGATCAGTTTCATCGACACCTATTATTAGAGGCAGAAAGAAGACAGTTGAGGCCGATTATTGAGAACAAGTCCCGCATTGTTCTTGTGCATACAACTTCTGGTTACAAGTATGTCTGTTATATTGTTTAAACATACTGATATTAAATTTCCAAACATTTCAATTATTAATCAAATATGAAACAAACATTTCTTATTAAATGGAAATAAACCAATTGACAAATGTAATTGACCTCACTTTTCATGGATACGACATAACTGCTTTTCATTTTTTTTTTTTTTTTTTATTTGCGAATGTCTGTTAGTACTGTGCCTCATATGACTGTTTGGCTTCAAATTTTTGGCGCACAGGCATAGTTTGAGGGAGGTTTTGGATGCTCCAAATGTGATGAACTTAATAAAGGACACTAAAGCAGCGCAAGAGGTGAGGATAGAAAGACCATTTCTGCTTAACATTTCAAATCGTCTTATATTGAATTTGCTTTAGGAAATTGATTGTCCTTCTTTTTCAGGTCCAAGTTCTCAAGGACTTCTTCAACATGCTTTCAAATGTCAGCTTCTGTCTTCGAGATCTTTGTGCTATTCATTTTATTTTGATTTCTTCTAGTTCCTTGTCTTTCCTTTTTCCTTTTTCCATTCGCTAAAGAAATCCTTTTTCTTGGTATCTTGTAGGATCCAAACCGAGCATGCTATGGACCTAAGCACGTGGAGGTAGCCCATGAACGGATGGCTGTCCAAACGCTTCTCATCACGGATGATCTTTTCAGGTTTGTGTATAGTAAAAGTAGTGGCAATTTACATTATCAAATTATAGCTTTTTTTTTTTTTGGGGGGGGGGGGGGGGGGGGGGGGTGGGGGGGGTGGGGGGGGGGGGGGGGGGGTGGGGGGGGGGGGGGGGGGGGGGGGGGGGGGGGGGGGGGGGGGGGTGGGGGGTTGGGTTTGGTTTTGGGTTAGGGGTAGTGTTATAATCTATAATTTGTGCTGATAATTTCTTGCAGCATAATCTGCAAATTTTCTATGCATTCATAATAGAAAATCTGGTATTATATCATGCTCAGAGCTCACCTTTAAATTTTTAATATCTAATTATTTTCAATCATCAAATTGAACTCCAGGAATGCTGATATAGCGACAAGGAAGAAGTATGTTAATTTGGTCAACTCAGTCAAGGATTCAGGAGGCACTGCTCATGTATTTTCATCCATGCATGTCTCCGGAGAACGTAAGTGTTACCTTCTATGCTTCATATCATTCTCTCTCTCTCTTAAAACTCCATTTAAGCATCTCTCACACGATAGCATGAATGATAGATATTTTTATATGCTTTGTGTAACCCAAAGGTTAAGTTGGATCGAGTCGTTAAGGCATTTAGTATCATCAGAGTCAAGGGTTTAACCCTTCTTGAAACCACTTTGGATATTATGTCAAGCAACCCAATCCGTTTCTATATATTTCTTCTTAATTATATTATCGCCAACGATTTACCTACTCATAGAGAATACTGAAACAAAAGGTCGGGTTCGAATATAATTTCCCTATCATGCTCTGTGATTTTATAATTTCCTTATAGTTTCCTCATTTAGAACTCGGTAAACACATGAGAAAGGTCAGGTTCGAATATAATTTCCCTTCCTCTCTGTCAAAGAATTTTTTTTTTTTTTTTTTTTTTTTAAAAGAATCATTATCTTGTTGGTCATTCTGAATCCATTTTTTTGTTTCTACAGAACTGGGACAATTGACTGGTGTTGCAGCAATTCTGAGGTTCCCTCTACCAGACTTGGAAGACATTGAAATGTGATGGAGATGGCTTCAGCATGTTTTTGTATATTAGCATGTGTTCTATATTTGATTTACTCTTTTATTTTTACTATTGAATTTAATTTAAACAGGATTATGTATATTTTTAATATTTGTAACATTTCATTGAGAGGAATAAATTATTATTTACAGTAAGAAAATAGAAAAAAAAAAAATCTGAGTTAGCTTTGTAGTGTGGTATATATATTCTTCAAGAGCATGGAGCCTTTATAATGCAAAAACTATGAACTCAAAAGGATTAATATTTTATGAGTTAATGACAACAATGACAATAATCACTTGAGGTTTTGGAAATAATCAAAAAATTATTTACAGGTAAAATAAACAAGAAGGCAATCAAGTAAATATTCCTTATTTATAATACTGTAAATTCTATTGGTGTACCAACGTAGGAGGACTTTTGTTATTTAAAAAAGCCAGAACGACTTACATATACCCAAGGTTTGACGAAACGACAAGTTGGTACTAAAAAAAATTTGAAATAACAAATAGGTACCTTCTATCATGTTTTGTTAGTGATTTTCGTTTGATAATAGTGAAAAGACTAGAATGTCCTAGAAAGTTTGATATTTTAGTTTTTTATAAATTTAAAAATTTCTAAAAAAAATCCCCTAAGTTTGCTAATTTGATTAAATACCCCAATATATAAAAATTTTATAAAATAACAAAAACACCTCTGCCACCCGCAGTGCCAGATTTCGGCCACCACCGCTGGAATCTGGCCGAAAAATTGCGTTACGACACAGACTCGTCGGATTTGTGTCGTAACGCATCTATCTGGCCTTTTCCGACCAGATCTAGCCTTTTTCGGTCAGATCCTCCATGGATCTAGTCGAAAAATGCCAGATCGACGCGTTACGACACAGATCCGACGGATCTATGTTGTAATGCAATTTTCTGGCCAAATCTGGCCGTAGATGTGGCCTTTTCCGGTCAGATCAGCCACGGATCTTGCCGGAAAATGTCAGATCTACGAGTTATGACACAGATCCGACGGGTCTGTGTCGTAACGAAATTTTCCGGCAAGATTCCGGCGGTGGTGGCCGGAATCTGGCACTGCGGGTGGGGGGGGGGGTGTTTTTGTTATTTTATAAAAATTTTATATATTGGGGAGTCCAATTAGCAAACCTAGGGGGTTTTTTAGAAATTTTTAAATTTATAAAAACTAAAATATCAAACTTTCAAGGACATTTTAGTCTTTTCACTATTATCAAACGAAAATCACTAACAGAACATGACAGAAGGTACCTATTTGTCATTTTAAAACCTTTTGGGTACGAACTTGTCATTTCGACAAACCTTGGGTATGCGTAAGTAATTCGGCCTTTAAAAAATCTCAAAATAATTTTTGTTAGTTAATTAAATCTTAGGTTAATGTTATTAACTCATTATTCAGTGAAACCTTTCTATAGTGACATTTTATATAAGATTAACTTCCATGTAGTCATAAAATTTTATAGACATTGTAATAAGTTCTAATTTTTTTAAGTCTCGTCTTAAGGAACTTGCTTTCACATAGTAATAATTATCTGTATATTGCAAAAAATATACGTTATGTTATATTAAAGGTTTAAAATGAAATACAATATTTATCTAAAATTGTTTATCAATGTTTATACCTTGGATTTGACATACTTTTGAATTAATTATTAATGTAGTGTTTTACCTCCATACCACTTGCACTAGAATAATTAAGTCAAAACAATAATGTTGTAACTATATCTCTATTAAATTATAACATCCTTATAATAATAAAATTAGTTTAGTTCCATTATTACGACTATAGATAGCTAGGACTGTAAACGAGCTGAGCCGAGCCGAGCTGAGCTTTTGGCTTATCGAGCCCGACTCGTTTACAACAGTTTCGAGCTCGAGCCTGGCGAGCCTCAGAATTGAGACTTCGAACTCGAGCTCAGTCGAGTTCGAGTCGAGCTCGAGCCGGCTCGAACTTGAGCTCCCGAGCTCAATCTCGAGCTCTACCTAAGCTCAAAGCTAGATTAACATAATTCATTTCACTTGATAGCATATCCCTTTCTCTCTCTGTCTCTTTGTCACTCATCTTCTTCTCCTTCTCAATTACGCGTCTATTTTTCAACCCGTTCTTTCTCTTTCTCTCTCTTTGGATTTCCATTAAGTCCAGCCAGGTTACAGAACAAAATTGGCTTGTTAAAATAAGAAATACCCCTTTGCTTTCATTGTTTGTTTTCTTTATAATTATTATTACTCCTCTCATTGGGCTTCATTTCTTCCTGGGTTTTTGTTTCTTTGTTGTGGGAGTTAAGGAGCAGACTCTTGTGAAGTGGATCTCTTGAGTGAGTTTCAGGGAGTGATTGAGTCTTGTGAGAAATTTTTAGAGTGTCTGCGATTTCGGGTAGTCGATTTCACGGTGGTGGGCAGTGGGCTACTGGCTGATGCGATTTCGCAATTTGGGGGTTTGTGTGCCTCTTTTTCTGGTTGCCGAGATCGGAGATGGTGACAGTGATTACCAATTTCATAGCGAGGAATCATGTCTGGTTCGCGATTTGGGGGTCATTGTTTGCGATTTGGGATTTAGGGCAAGTGGGAACTGAAATTGATTTGGTGTATCGTGTTATACGAATTTGCACTTTGGGGGGAAACTGTCATTTTTTAAAACTTTTTTCACTGGAAAATATCAGTTTAATACCTAATGGTTTAAAAAATCACCAAAGCACCCTGTGTAAGTGCACAGTGTTTACGTGAGCCCGACCAAGCTCACAAGCCCACGAGTCGAACTTCACTGTGTTCGAACTCGACTTGGTTAACAAACCGAGTTTGAGTCGAGTTGACTCAATAATAACCAAGTCGAGCTCCAAACGAGCTCTAACCGAGTCGAGCCGAGCCAGCTCGCTAGCCGGCCCGGCTCGTTTACACTCATATAGATAGATACTACTGTAGATTCATGGGAAATGGGTTTGGTTGCATAACCATATGGAAGAATTGTTTTAAAACCCAAACCGCCCCATGACTCGATCAAGGGGCTATTTCTCGGTTTTTCTAGTCTAATTGGTGATCCAGCAAGTTTTGAAAGTTTATAAAAATACCCCTATAAAATTATTATCAATACCTATCTTTTTAAAATCTAAAATATACCCTTGGGATCTGGGCAGGAAACCCTAGCCGCCGCCTACAACCAACACAAATATGTCAAACAATCTCTCTTTCTCTTTCCTTTGCAACTAACCCAACATCTCTTCTCACCCCTGTCTCTCTCTTTCTTTTTTTTTTAACCCAACTTTTTTCTCACTTTTTGGGTCGCTCATTGATGTGAGATGGATTCAGCAAAAAAAGGGTCCTCCATCGATTTTCATACGCAACATCAACATCTAATGGAGAGATTGTGTATCACATCAATGACTGTCGGTCTGACTAGAAAAACTAAGAACTAACCCCGAACTGAGTCGATCTAGGTTTTAAAACATGCTTTCATATAGTTACGTAACCAAACCTACTTCCCTGAATCTGTATATATATATTGTAAGAAGCCACAATTATCCAATGCAAGGTGATATTACACACGTCATACTCTCTCTCTCTCTCTCTCTCTCTCTCTCTCTCTCTCTCTATATATATATATTATATATATGGGAAGTGGGTTTGGCAACGTACCTATGGAAGCCAAAGGTAAATGATATTTAAATCTTGAATTACAAAATAAAAGACATAATTATTTAATGTTCTAACTCCAAAAGTATATTTCTGACTTCAAGGATATAATTAAATAATATTATGCTGAACTATAGGTCATGTAATAATTAAGAAAATCAGAGGGACTTAACTGAGATTGCACTGCATAAATGTAACTTTAAATCAAGAGGGACTATAGGTCTATATTTTTTTTTAATTTAACCTAAAATGACGTAATATAAATGTATTTGATTATATAATGTAAAGTCAAAGAGATATTGAAAATATTAATAGATTTGAGAGAAAAACATGTGTCAAACCATACACAAAAAAAAAAAAAAAAAAAAAAAAAAAAAAAAAAAAAAACAAAAAAACACTAATCATGAGAAAAAAGGACAAAAACCTAAGTTTAAGCTTTTAGATTCGCTTATTTTTTTTCCATGTTCTTTGGTTAAAAGATTGATTCTTTTTTTTCTTAGATTTTGAATAGGTATAAAATATAAAATTAATTAAGCGGTTTGTTTAGGCTCACTCCTATCCTATATGTAACAAAAATGAAATTCCATGTTCAAAAAGTTTAGTAATTTTCAGTCCACCCAAAACTAGGCTTGATAGTGTATTTTTTTTTTTTTTAATCATCGGGGTGTCTAGTTAACTTGCACGCATCTCAACTAATTCCTTAAAATCCTGAAATTAATGATTGAGTAAGAACCCCAATAACCACTTCTATTACTAAACATGGCAAATGGGCAGTTAGGCTACACGTTAGGTAAAAACGGATACGATTCAAACATGTGAAATGTGAAACCATACCTGCAGAATCGGGTGTGGTGGGGTTTGAGTATACTACCCATACATATTTTCTCATACAACCTATATGACAAAAGATGATGGATGAAAGTTTTATTTTAATTTAAAATCAGTCAATCATATTTTGCCACATCAAATTGTACAAAAAATGTTATATAAAAATGTTGTATGTGTAATATTATGCACGAAGGTTTCTGTTATAAAGAGGGAGGGCATTGTGGTACTGCAAAGAAACTTGCACAGAAGCTTTGGAGTTTAAAGAGAAAGCTTCCTATTTCTCTTTACTCAATTTTCAATGTACAAAACAAGAGAGGAAGGGTGGTATTTATAGTAGCAATAGATTAGTTCATAACTCAATCTTATAAACTTTTTCTTATACCTCTAACGTGACAGTTCATAATTAATTAGCTCGCAATTAGCAAACAAGTCCATTATTAGGCCGGCAGAATTCATTGTAATTGATCAATTGCGAACTGTCACGTCGAAGTATGAGAGAAAATTTGTGAGATTAGATTGTAAATGTAGTATGCTCACTATTTTAAAACCTAAACTGAAGGGCAACCCGCTCTGCTGCCCAAGTACAGTTTAACCGGTCCGACTGTTGGATGGTGATGTCATCACACAGTATGATGATGTCAGCAATTTAAAAAAAAAAAAAAACCAAGTCTCTTGAAAA